GCCTCCCGGGTTCAAGAGATTCTCCTGCCTCAGCCTTCCAAGTAGCTGGGATTACAGGCATATGCCACCACACTTGGCTAATTTTGTGTTTTTAGTAGAGACGGGGTTTCTCCATGTTGATCAGGCTGGTCTCCAACTCCTGACCTCAGGTGATCTGCCTGCCTTGGCCTCCCAAATTGCTGGGATTACAAGCGTGGGCCACCGTGCCCGGCCCATGTGGAAAGGCCACTGTAGGCCGCCCCTAGAGAGGGGATAGGTTGTCACTCGGCTCCTCCTGGGGACTTCAGGTGACCACCAGACTATTGACATAGTCTACTCCCTCATTGCCACTGGACCCCCAGCTCATGATCTCCCTAAAGCAGTTGTCCTGGAGGCTCAGCCCTTCACCAAGGGCCCGACATAGGCTTGGTGTGATCCGATAAGCAGACTTCGACCGCTCTGTTGCTGGAGATTTGCTGATGGATGTGACCTGAGCCCCACCCCGTTGGAGGGGCAGAGACACATAAACAGATGGACTCACTTCAGCCGGAAGCAGCCCTGGGAAGGAGCCCCAGCAGGTGCAACAGGAGCACAGGGGAGGAGCTTGATCCACTCCCAGGCCAGCAGGAAGGAGGGAAACATGGGCAGCACCTAGCAGAGGCAAATGCGGACCATGGGTTGCTTTTGGAAAGTGAGAGATGTGAGTGTGGTGATAGAGTCTGAGTCTGAGGACAGGAGATGGTGTGGATGGCTAAGGGGCAGGGGGCAGGGGAATTTGGTTGAAGAGAGATGGGGAGGCAGAGAACCACAGGACAAGGAGCCAGCCCCAGGAGGATCACCCTTGGACAGGATGGGGAAGCCTGTCCTCAATCTGAAAGGGAAGGGGGAAGAATGAATGTAGATTGCATGGAAGTTTGCAAGTGGGAAAGGAAAGAAACTGATGTCCTGTGTGTTCTCAGGAGGTAGATGTACAGGAGGTAACGCTGGAAACTCTGAACTTCTACTGGCAGCCACAGGCACCATTTTCTTACTTTGTTTCCCCCAGCAGCGCTAGAGCAGGTGGATTTTAGACAGGATGGCCAACTTTCCCAGGACTTTTCTAGCCTTAGCACTGAAAATCCCACATTCAGGAAACCCCTTAGTCGTGGGCAAACTGGGATGGTTAGTGGCCTTAATTTTAGGATTGATCCAGGGATGAGGGTTTTGTCAGGTAGATGAGGAAATACAATATAGGAGTTATGGGTGCTACTAAGAGAAGAAAATGTCAGATTGGTCATGATCTCACGCCTATAGTCCCAGCACTTTGGGAGGCCGAGGCAGGTGGATGGCTTGAGGCCAGGAGTCTGAGACATGTCTAGGCAACGTGGCAAGACCCTGTCTCTACTAAAAATCACAAAATTAGCCAGGCATGGTAGTGCACACCTGTAGTCCCAGCTACTCAGGCTGGGAGGATCACTTGAGCCCAGGAGGCGGAGGTTGCAGTGAGCCGAGATCACTCCATGGCATTCCAGCCTGGGCAAACAGAGTGAGGCCATGTCTCAAAAAGGAGAGAAAAAAAGAAAATGTGATATATTTCAGGGGCTCAAAGTGGCCTAGGAAGGAAGTGAGGTCAGAACAGGAGTGACTGGGACAATAAATTGGGGAAAATGGAGGGAAGGATCAGAAGACAGAAGGTCACTACAAGGTTGAGAATAGGGACAGTAGCATGAGGATGGGGGAGAGCTGATCGATGAAAAGTTGTCAAAAAATAGAATGTATGAGTGTAAGACTCTGAGCAGCAACCAGGTTGGGTGATGACAAGCTCTGAGATGTTTCCTTGGGGTGCGATTCTGAAGAGAGTGGAAAATAAAGGACACCAAGGTTGAGAATGTTAAGGAACCCAAGGCAAGATTGCCAAGTTATTCATTAAAACCTGCCAAGATAATGGCAGAGGTTGAAGTGGAGGCACTGGCAGGTCCCCACTGAATGAGGGGGAGCAGCCTGGAAGCTGATGGACAGCCTTGTCGAGCACAGATAGAAGGTGTGTGTGGCCATCTGGCACAACATTTAAAGGAAGCAGGTGGAAAGTCACAGGGCAGAAGTTGTGACGGGGGCAGGAAGAATTGAGGCATGGCTCCACAGCCCTCTAGCATATGGGGAGTAAGAGAAAGAGTAGCTTCCACTCAAGAAGCTACTAAACAGGAAGGTCTTCCCAAGCAAGACATATTTCAAAACAGCATGGTAGGAGGATGTTCTGTGAGGAGGCTGCAAATGTACAGGAGTGTTTCTTCTTTGGTACAGGCTTCCCAAAGGGCACGGTGGAAACAGCTTTGGCTCAGCATGGAGGGGCTTCCTCCATGCTGGGTAATGGGGTGAGGCCCGGGCCCCATGGGAGTGACGGCACCTGAGCTGTGCACCCCCCAGTCCACCTAAGGCTGAAGGATCAGCCACCTCTCTCCGTGCCCATGCTATGGGCTCCTCCCAACACCACTGTGACTGAGGACAAGACAAGACTTGGAGGCACACTTCAGTATGCCACCCACCCTTGTTCCTTTGTCCTGTCACACCCTAAAGCCCTGCTGCCGAAGTGAGGGGAGCTCTTACCTGGGGAAACATACACCCTAACCAGGGCCGAGGGATCACGTGACCATGAATCCAGGATCCATACTGTCTGAATTTTGCACCAGTAAGATCCAGCATCATCTTCATTGAGGTTCTGCATGGTCACAGTGAAGGCAAGAGCCTCCGGATGGTCTCTGATGGACACGTGGCCATTCCTCTCCACCTTCTCTTCTCCCTTGGTCTCCACAATGCTCTCACATGATGTGTCATACTGTCCTCGGCACCAGTATTTGTTATATCCCTTGTACGTGCTCTCATACTGACACCACACTCTCAGAGAGCCCCCCACAGTGCCAGTCACAGAGTCGGGGCCCGTCAGAGACAAACAGCCTGGAAAACACAAGCCCGAGTCCCAGGTCTCCATCCAGATGGCCCTATCAGCAGCCGTCTGTCTGAAGCTTGAGGGGAAGGTTGCCAGGGAGACCTGGGTGTTTCCTGGGATGGGGACCTGGAGGAATACCTGAGCTTAGGACCTAAGCCAAAGAATCCCTGTGAGAGAAGAAACCTGACCCCTGTGAGAGCAGTGACACCAAGTCACAGCGCAGGGGCCCTAGCACTTGGAAACCAAAGCTGGAGGTAGGAGCAGAGAGGAGCTGTCCCGCCTTGTCCCGGGCCCTGCAGCCTCTGCCAGGCATGAGATTTGGTCATATACAAGATCACTTCCCTTCGGAGTGAGACCCACGTATTCTGGGGTCTTCTGCAACTCAGGCTTATTCTTTAAAAGCACAACGTGTGGTTTCCTCCACTCTCAGAGTGTTCTTGTGGGAGGGAAAATAACTCTCCTGCTCTGATCTTAACCACTCTCTGGGAAGAATCGACATGACCCTGGGAAGAGGGGTTGTGTCCAAAGGAAGCCCTGATAAGCTTCTTTACATGAATTTGGGACACAAGATCAGCCTCCCCGATAACAGTCCCCAGGTCTTGGGTGTCAGAGGTCACCACGCATTCAGAGGAAAGAGGGAAGCTGCTCTCTGTAACCGAGTGAGGTGCTTTGGGTCCTGGGGGGAAAGTGGGGCTTAGAATCTGGGAGGCAAAGTGCGAGAAGTTGATACGGAAGGAAAGAGAAGGGAAAAGAAAGGCTGTAGGTAGGCAGAAGTTCAGGCATTATGGGATGTGATGCTCAGCAGAGGCCCCAATATCTTGAGCGAGTGCTGACAAACTTACAAGAGGCTTTGACTGAACTTGAGTGCATGTGCACGTGCACGTGTGTGTGGGTGTGAGAGAGGGGGAGAGAAAGACAGTCACGAGGCTGAGCTTTGCATCCCCCAAAGTAACCTGAGTTAGCAATAAGAGGATGAACACACACAGGGGCCACGGAAGCTTAAGCTGTTGGAATGAGCAGAAAGTGTGAAACGACCCCTGGTATCTGCGAGTCCTACGACCATCTGGGCTCCTGAGCTAATTACATCTAGATCCGAGGTGACTGAGGACGGAGGAGTCCCTGACTTCTGGCTTCATTCATTTCTCTCCCCTTCTCCCACCACCTGCCTTTCCTCCCCACTCTGTCCCCAGCTGGCTCTGTCTGTCATATGCCTTGGCAGATGTGTGAGCCGCCACCATGCACACCTTCCTCACCCCACCAGCCATGCTTGGTCTGAGACAATCTCACTGTCACTATCTCTTCCCACCCTCCTGGTCCCTCCCACACTCAGTAGCACCTGTCACCCCCACCCTGACCCCTTCCCAGCCCCTACCCCAAACCCTGCCCCAAACCTGTGTTCTCCCGCTCTGTGCTCCCTTGACCACAGCAAAGTTGCTCCTGACCCCGCATCTTCTGAGCGCTTCCCATTTCTCTGTTGTCCTAATTCTCGTAAGAACCTTCCTTGCCCTGGATGCTGCACCTTCAGGCATCTTCCCATTCCCAAATCCCTGCTCCCCACCTATGTTCTCCCCCAAGAACCTGTTGCCCACAGCTGCACACCCCTCCTGAGATTGCAGAGCCAGTCCTCACCTCCTCCCTTCCACCTGCCCCCAGCCCCCTCCTAGAGGTGGCACATCCCAGCAGCACCTCCTTCCAGGTTCTGGACAGAGCTCAGGACTGCATTTCCCACATGGGAGTTTGACAGGGTACAAAGGGCTCATCACAGCCAAGCGTCTGGTGGTGGAACCGAGGCCTGCTTGTGCTGCTTCCGAAAGGGATCATTCCTGCAGAGCTTGGGGTTCTCCTTCTGCCAGGATCAGAGCCAGCCCCTTCAGAGCTGAATGTGTCCTAGAATTCCTGCCACTCCAATCAATAAGATGCCAGCTTCAGATGGGAAGTCAGACTCAAGAGAGCTTTCCAGGTTCCTTCCAGCCCAAAAAGTCTTTAATTCCTCAATTGCATAAGAACTGGCCTGGCCTTCTGCCCCTGGCCTCTGGAAAGAGGCTTTCTCCTCTGGAATCTGCCCTCCACATTCCTGATTACAACCTGGACTCTTTCAGCCCTGCTAGGAAGCAAATGTTTCACCTTCCTCTCAGTCACACACATACAGACACACACACACACACAACACACACACACACACACACACACTGGGGAGAGCACAGCTGAGAGAGGAAACCATGGGACCATTTCGTCCCTTCCAGCGCCCAGAGCCACTTACTTTTAGCTCCTCTGGACTGAACTGTTTCCTTTCCCAGGTCTCTGTTAGGTAAACCTCCAGGTTTAGGGGTCTTTCTGGCTCACAAACTTTACAACTTTTCAAGCCATTCTAAGTCAAGCAAATGGCAGTCCCTTTGCAGAGTCAGAATCTCATCCTGAAAAGCCTAAAAGTGCTATGGGGAACCCCAAACCTAGCAAATCTGGAAGGTCACCCTAGAAAAGAAAGGGCCTTCTGCATTCATGATGGCTATTCTCTCCAGTAGGCAACCTTCTCATTGAAATGAAACCAATGCAAATGAATCTTCTGAAAAGACAAAAGATGGTTCTTAAAATGTGGAAGTCACGGCTGGGCGCTGTGGCTCACACCTGTAATCCCAGCACTTTGGGAGGCTGAGGCGGGCAGATCACAAGGTCAAGAGATCGAGACCATCCTGGCCAACGTGGTGAAATCTCTTCTCTACTAAAAACACAAAAATTGGCCGGGCGCGTGGCTCAAGCCTGTAATCCCAGCACTTTGGGAGGCCAAGGCGGGCGGATCACCAGAGGTAAGGAGTTTGAAACCAGCCTGGCTAACATGGTAAAATGCTGTCTCTATTAAAAATACAAAAATTAGCCAGGCATACTGGCAGGCGCCTGTAATCCCAGCTACTTGGGAGGCTGAAGGGGAGAATCACTTGAACCTGGGAGGCGGAGGTTGCAGTGAGCCTAGATCATGCCATGCACTCTAGGCTGGGCGACAGAGTGAGGCTCCATTTAAAAAAATAATAATAATGCAAAAATTAGCCAGGCGTGGTGGTGTGCACCTGTAGTCCCAGCTACTCAGGAGTCTGAGGCAGGAGAATCGCTTGAACCTGGGAGGCGGAGGTTTCAGTGAGCCAAGATCGTGCCATTGCACTCCAGCCTGGCAACAAAGCAAGACTCCAGCTCAAAAAAAAAAAAAAAAGTGGAAGTCACTCGTAAAGACTTATATTTCAGAGGCACGACAGGAGTGTGGATAAGGGTACTATCTAAAGCCCAGTAAGCAAAGCCACCTCCAAAATGGAGGTAAAGCAAGGCAACTTGCAGAGGGGAGAGCCTGGATAGGTGAGCTTAAAGAAAAAGATAAAGTCCAAGGCAGGCAGATCACTGGAGGTGAGACCAGCCTGGCCAACATGGTGAAACCTTGTCTCTACCAAAAATACAAAACTGAGCCAGGTGTGGTGCCACATACCTGTAATCCCAGCTACTCAGGAGACCGAGGCATGAGAATTGCTTGAACCTGATCAGCGGAGGTTGCAGTGAGCCAAGATCACCCCGCTGCACTCCAGCCTGGGTGACAGAGCCAGACTCCTTCTCAAAAAAAAAAAAAAAAAAAAAGAAGAAGAAGAGGAAAAAAAAGATGAGATGAAGGGTGTGGCTGATTAAATCACAGACCCTCAGATGTAGATCGTGGCTTCTAGTTGCTTAGCCCAATTTTCTACTTAATATAAAAATATAATGAAAGCAACTTTTCATGCAAAGTATTGGCAAATGACACCAAATTACTGTTGTTTGAAAGAAGAACCAGGATTGGATTGGGAAGGAGTGGGGAGATCTTTGTTGTTGATAACATTCTAGTTCACGGATTGGCCAGTGAGTTCACAGATGTTTTAGTTACATATAATTAAAATAAAAGAGGGTCTTGAATGGACCAGTGATAAGAGAGTGTTCCATGACCCATGATCTAATCCTGGGCACCTGAAGTTAAGGAAAAAGAAGGTTATGCTAATTCCAAGATACTTTCCTCTGTCCTGCTAGAGTGTTACCTGAATGCAAGATTAGCAGGTCTCAAGGAAATCCAGCATGTTCCTGGAAATGATTGATGGAATTATAAAAATGCGTCTGTGCCTTTTTTGAAACATGTGCTTGCTGGTTGCTTGAGGTTAATGGGAGCTAGTAAATATTGGACAGCAATCAGTTCAGAATGGAAATACCAGATGATGTTGCAGAGAGATCAGCTATTTCGTGACTATTACTCGGTTAGCCTTATTCTTGACACCTCTATGGCCAATGGAAAGAGCTCTGTGGAGGACACAGATCTGGACTTCATTTCCAGCTTGTCTATTTAGTTCTTATGTCATCAGATATCCCATCATCAACTTACTTATGAAGTGGAGTCAATGCTATTTGCCCTGCCTAGGTCACAAAATTGCTCAGAGGGTTAAATTCTATCATCTGTTTGGAAGTGTTTGTAGGCTATAAAAATGCATAATAAATAGAATTCTAGTTTTGCTCTTTCTTTATTTTTTACTATTTTGTAGAGACGGGGCCTTGCTATGTTGCCCAGGCTGATCTCAGACTCCTAGGCTCAAGCATTCCTCCTACCTTGACCTCCCAAAGCACTGGGATTACAGGTGTGAGCCACCACACTCAACCAACGTTTGCTTATTTTGTATTTGAATTTGCTTCCTTCCTCTTTGTCATTTATCCTCCATGCTAGAATTGCCCCTTTCCATCTCTCTTTCCCAGTTAAGGTTTTCAGAGGGACCTGTGAAGGTCACATTGTGAGCCTGAGGATGGGGAATGAGATAGGAGTGGAAAGAGAGATGCAAAGGGCAAAGAAAAAGGAAGCAAATTCAAATACAAAATGAGCAAACATTGGTTGAGTGTAGTGTCCCATGCCTGTAATCCCATCACTTTGGGAGGTCAAGGGAGGAGGATTGCTTGAGCCCAGGAGTTTGAGTCAGTGTCATCCACCTAGTCTTCTTCCCTTAAATCTCTGTCATTTTCACTCACCCTTCTAGAAAGAACCTTGTCATTACATTGGGAGGTTTCTATGTTTTATGAGGGAAATCAACCATAAAATTCATTCTGCAAACATGAAGAATGTCCTCTAATTTTTAGCCTAAACTTATTTCCCCACAGACAAATGTGTTTTCCTGCATTTTGCATTTTGAATGTCTATTAATAAGAGTTTCTCTTCTGAAAGTCCAACCTTTGCAGGACAGTTTCATTTACTTGTTTACACCACACCTTGTTCCAGGAAGGATTTAAGGTAGATGTTGAGGATGGCATTTTAGACACTTGGTTAATTCTTTTTTTTTTTTTTTTTTGAGACAGGGTCTCACTGTGTCACCCAGGCTGGAGTGCAGTGGTGCAATCTCAGCTCACTGCAACCTCCGCCTCCCAGGTTCAAGCGACCCTCCTGCCTCAGCCTCCCAAGTAGCTGGGACTACATGCGTACATCACCACACCCAGCTAATTTTTGTATTTTTAGTAGAGACAGGGTTTCACCTTGTTGGCCAGGCTGTTCTCGAACTCCTGACCTCAGGTGATCCACCTGCCTTGGCCTCCCAAAGTGCTGGGATTACAAGTGTGAGCCACTGCATCTGGCCCATTAATTCTTTCTCACAAACCATTCCAACCCCTTTACACTAAGCTTTGTCAAAACAGAACTATTGTTAATTCTTGAACTCTCCATGGTCTTTAATATCCTCACACTTGTCCATAAGATATTCCTTTCTCACTCAGCCAACTCATTCATCCTTCAGGATGAACTTCCAGTGAAGCCTCAGTGACATCTCCCACCCTTCAAAGAGCAAAATGAGGGGTCCCTGTTGCATACTCTCATCACCACATGAATAAGTCTCTACAACAGTAACTTCCACATTGTATTGTAGTTAGTTGATTCCCTCAATTCAGAAATTACTCTTAATTACAGCACCCAGAACAGTCCTGGCACATATCTGGTGCTTAGTAAGTGTTTGTAGGATCCATGGATGAATGATTGAACGTACAGAAGGATTGACAGGTGAATGAATGGATGTATCTTTCCCTTTTCTGTGGACACTTTACCTCTGGCTTAAACCCAGGATAGCTCTTCTACCTACTGTCCTGCCCTCTGCAAAACCAAGGCCCCAAAGCCACAGCCCCACTCACCTGAGAAGCAGAGAAGGAGTAGAGCTGGGAGCAGCCACATGGTCCTGTCTCCCTGGCTGCCGTCCTCAGCAAATCTAGGTCCCAGTTGGAATCCAAGTATGTGTAACAGAGCCTGGGTCATCCACTTTCTACGTGTCCAAGTCTCCTTTGTGTTCTCTCTCATCTGTTTCCTTTTTTGCCTTTTAAAGGATGCTTCCTAGTTTTAAGCCTTACTTAGCAGAAGGGGAAGGGTGGCAAGAGACGCTTCTGAGAATGGACTAAGCACAAAGAAGAAAATCTGTTGACCTTCCTGTAATGTGAATATAATGGTTGCGTCACCCCCTGAGATTTCATGACTCGGGACTTCATGAAAGTCAATCCCAGTTTACGAAACCTCTCCAGCAGAGGAGACTCTGTTCCCTGCCTCTTTCACTCTTCTTCCAATCTGGGATTACTTTACCGATCTAAGTAGCTTCCCTTCTCTATGGCTGCCTACTTTTGAATCATAAAACACCCTCTGCTTAAGGAGCTGTAGTGAGCACTCCCCATGTCTGTCTCAACCGTTATCTCCATGCGGATGACTTCACACCTCTTCCTCTAACCCAATATCCCAATATCCCTCCTGGGCGCCAGATCCTACTTTCTAACTTCCTGTAGGGAAGCTTCACCTGCTTATACACTACTAACCTAGTTCAGTATGTGGGTCATGGTCCACACCACAGATTCTGAAGTCACACAAACTCAAATCTCATCTCCATCATTCATTAATCATCTGACCTTGGGCATGTTGCTATATCACTCTCCTCCTCAGTCTCCTCATCTGTAAAATAGAGAACTCAGGATGATTCTTTCTCGTAGGGTTGCCACGGGAAATAAATGAGTTAATGTAAGTAAAGTGTTTGGTACAGTACCTGGAACATAGTAACTGCTCAGTTAATGTTAAACACCTTTAGAATAGTCCTGGACCATTGAAATAGCTTCTCATCTGGTCCCTCCACTAGCTATACATTCTCTCTAATCCAACTTGCACATCAGAAGATACTCTTCTTTAAGCCAGGTATCTGAAACTATAATTTCTTTCCTTCTCTTCCCCAGAGATACCCATCCTTGATACCCACAGCCTCTAATCTTTACTATCTTTTAGAACTCTACTGTATCATCTGATATTTCAAATTTTGTTGTAAGAGCACAAATTCTTATCTTTTATGTACCACTATATCTGATGAAATATTATATAGCCAGGCATGGTGGCACATGCCTGTAATCTCAGCTACTTGGGAGGCTGAGGCAGGAGAATCACTTGAACCCAGGAGGTGGAGATTGCAATGAGCCAAGATCACGCCATTGCACTCCAGCCTGGCGACAGAGCGAGACTCCATCTCCAAAAAATAATAATAATAATAAAAGAAAGAAAGAAATATTATATCTAGAATAGAGCCCTGGATGGGACAATAAAACACCAGGATCCTGGTCCCATGTGTGACACGAGTCACACACTTGATGGACCCAGAATGAGCAGAGCTGACAGTAGCTACAACATTGTGTCTTAGTCCATCTTCTTCTAGTATAACAGAATACTACAGGCTGAGTAATTTATAAAGAAGGAAAGTTCGCAGGTGCAGTGGCTCATGCCTGTAATCCTAGCATTTTGGGAGGCCGAGACAGGTGGATCACTTGAGGTCAGGAGTTTGAGACCAGCCTGGCCAACATAGCAAAACCCCATCTCTAATAAAAATACAGAAATTAGCCCGGCATGGTGGCATGAGCCTGTAGTCCCAGCCACTCAGGAGGCTGAGGTGGGAGAATTGCTTGAACCCAGGAGACAAAGATTGCAGACGCCACTGCATTCCAACCTGGGCGACAGAGAGAGACTCTGTCTCAAATAACAATAATAAAAAGAACAAATTTGTTCACCTTCCCAGCTTTCTGAAGATGAGAAGTCCAAGAGTATGGTAGTGGCAACTGACAAAGGTCATACCATGGCAGAAGACAAGACAGCAGGCAAGCCTGCTAGACAGAGAGAAAAAGGGGGCTGAACTCACCCTATGAGGAAACCACTCTCACAATAACTAACCCACTCTGGAGATAACAGCATTAATCCACTTATGAGGACTGAGCTCTCAAGACCTAATCACCTCTTAAAGACTTCACATCCCAATACCATTACATTGACAGTTAAGTTTCAACACGAGTTTCCAAGGGAACATTCAAACCACAGCAACCCTCGTGCCATTTATTCAGCAGAGACAACAGTTGGAGGCTTCAGTTCTCTCCACCAAGAGGATCAAACAAATCTTCAGCCTTCTTGGTTCTGCTTTTATAATGTTTTCTTCTGGTTCCTTTAAAAAAAATATTATCTCTAGAGTTGTTTATAAAATAAAAGAAATGGGAATAAGCAAAGGCATGTGCTGATGGTTGAAAAAATATAAACTCACCATGTCTAATATAGGCACATATCACTATAATCCAATTAGAAAATCCAAACTCCAGACTACCTGGTAAGACAGAGTCGATATAGAAGCTATCATCTGGTGCCAAACTGAAGTCAAATCCAATAAAAGGCAATTCCAGGTATTAGAAATGTAAAGGGAGCTAAAAGCCAGGTCTGTGAGCAGGATCCGATACCAAGAGGCTAATGGGGACCAGTCAAAATGAATTTGGGCCTTCGGAGGAAAGGGGCTGCTGTTTAAATAGCCACTCAGGGGCAGAAGACAATGTCTCAGGTCTATACAAGACAGGCAGCGGGAGCAGAGCCCCTGCCAAAAGCTAGGATCCATGAAGGGTCATTATGCTCAGGGAACAGGGTGAGGGGAAACCCCATTGATGGGCTCATGGGAGCATCAAGGCATCTCAGCTTCCTATAGTTGTAAGGAGTTAGAGCCTTCCATGAGAACAAGCACCTAAGTTGCACTACATAGGGGTGTGAGATCCAAAGTCACAACTTCCCATCCTGTGGGAGTGTTAGACAAAGACGTCAATATAAAACAGGTTGGCAAATGATGAGACTTGTAGGGCCATGGAAGAGATGAACACAAACCAAAACCACACCTCCAGTTCACTTTGTGGTTTTGTACACCCCCTGAGCTAATGATCATTTCCACATTGGTAATGGTGGGAAATTTTTTTTTAAATTCATGACACATGAAAATTGTCTGAAACTAAAATTTCAGTGTGCACAAATAAGTTTTACTGGAATACAGCTACACATGTTCATTTATGTATTATCTATGGCAGTTTTCAAGCTACAACAGCAGAGTTTGTTACAGGACCAACAAGTTCATATGCCTGCTGCACTGGAACAAACCAATACACCAAGACAGCAGGGTTTGCAGCAAAGAAAGAGTTTAATGGTCACAGGGTAACCAAGCAAGGAGATGGGAGGGACCCTCAAATCCATCTCCCTGAGAAGTTCTGGGCTGGGGCTTTTAAGGGGATGGTGGAGGGCAAGTAACTGGAAAATTAGGATCATTATTGGTCAAGGTAGGATGGATGAAATCATCATGATCTGGAAACAGCCTTCTTTGGTGAATCAGCTTCTCTTGGGTTTCTCTAGACCAACTGGCATCAGTAGTTTCACTGGTATGCAAGACCTGATAAGAATATCTCAAATGGAAAACTTAATGTCTCACAATGCTTAAGATGTTACCTATGGTGCAATTAAGGGGAACTATAGTCTTACTACAGGGTCTGTGTGATTCTGGGGGAATAGGCAGCAAATATGAGGAAGCAGGTAAGAGAGCAGGCTGACCTCATGATTAATGCCAAATGTGCTGCAAGTTTGATTTATTTTCATTTCTCTCCTTCGCTTCTTCCCTGATTAATTTTATAAAATTTATAGGAACAATTCCAAGTTGACTAGTTGTGACAGAGACCACAGAGCCCACAAAACCTAAAATCTGTAATAGCTGGCCCTGGCAAAAAGAGTTTGCCATCCTCTGGCATTGATGATGGACCCCTCCCCACTTGCAACTAGCAGTCTTTCCCACTGGTAATTGGAAGCAGAATCCTGAAAGCAGAGCACTCTTGGGCTAGTCTTCTTGAGGGTTATAGAAGCTACTTTAGGTGGCATGAGGATTTACCAGGGCAGAGACAACCTAGAGAGTGATCTTAGGCCAGAGGGAGGGTCCAGGTAGAGTCTAGCTTAGCCCTGGTGAAGATACAGATGCTCTCGCCTGGCCCCATCTGCCTCATTTGGCAGCCTGACAAGTTGGCACTCTCCTGCCTTCCACTTGGTGCAGCCCCACAGGTTCCCAGAAGAAGCAGGTAGCTTTCCCCTAAGGACCTCCCCTGGCCCCCTAAGCAGAAGCTCTTACCAGCTCCTCCAGCCACACGTGGGATTTCCTACAGGACAATTCCATTCCCTGTCCCAGCTTTAATCCTATCTCCACCCTGACTCCACCGACACCTCAAACTCAACATAATGGACATCTAACCCTTCTCTCTCGCTGACCTCTCCAACAACTACTAGAACAACAACAGCAACGTGCTTTTCTTCCTTAACTCCCCGGACTGCCCCAGCCCAGAGCTTTCACCTCCTGCTCTTCAGGCTGTCACTAAAGCTACTGCCCCTGGAACTGCACAGAGCTCAGGAAATTCCCTCCTCCATAGAAAAGCGAAGTGAGCAAGTTAAAAGACGATTCTTACCAGCTTTAAGGTTACTTCTGATATAATTAGAATAGTAGAGAATTATAAAAGGGAGAAGTTCATAAAGAGGGCAGCGATGTGCCATATTAATGTATATAGAAAAGATGCTCCTAAATTAATCAATTTATAAAGACTTAGAGTATATTTCTGCCAAGAATGGGAAAAGTATCCTGTTTCTCAAAGACATAAGCTGGAGGAGGCTGCACCCTTCAGGAACCTTCTTAGCAGTTAATTTTTAAACACATACTCATGCAATTCTAATCCTCTAAACAACCCTGTGAGGTAGAACTTCTATTATCCCCAGTTTCAGGGGGGGAAACTGAGGCACAGAGAGGCCAATCAACCTGCTGAAGGCCTTATGACCCATTAGTGGTGAGGCGCTATATGATTGCGTTCATATGAAGCTAGGATTGGAGGGCCCAGGTTGCCTGGCTCCAGGATCTGTGCCCTTACCTCCCACTACCCAGCTGCTTGTAGTAAATTAATGCAGAAACAAGGCACAAGAGGTCATGATGGTTGCTCCGAGAGAATTAAACAGAGTCATAGAC